GAGGTAGAAGAGGTGCTTGATGTAGAAGAGGTGCTTGAGGTGCTTGACGTTGTGGATGTGCTCGAGGTCGAAGAGGCTGCAGTGGTCGTCTGATTATTTAATATGCCTGCGGGCACCTCTGAATAATCTCGACAGTCAATGGCATCTGATGCGCGTTGGCAGCACATGCGGGCGATGAGAGGCTTCATCATGGGGCAACAGCGACCTTCAAGACAATAGATGGGACGTACATGCATTGCTTGAGCGCAAGTTGACAAAGGGAGGGCTTGCAGCGTTGTATTGAACCTATTTGGAATGGCAGGCAATGGTGCATCCGTGTGGACTGCGAATGAGAGAGCATTTGGCCTGACAGCTTTGCTCTGAGTGCTTGCTTTGCATCTGCTTCAGCATGGTCACATTATGCTGTATTCTCATCGGTCCCATTTCTCATCTCCTTGTTTTAGCCTGGGCAAAAGGACAATCAAACCACATACATAGTCGATGTCCAAGTTGCGGATGAACATGTTCAGGCGACCGAGAGCAGAGTAGGCGAGAAGACTGTTGACATGTGAGCATCCCCGGGGGGCCAAAGTAATGACGGCGGAACAGCTCTGAGAGGACATGGAGGGTTGCATGTTAAAAGAGCGACCTGCGTGGCACGACTGCAAGACACAAAAAAAATGCTTCAACGATCAAAAGCACATGCGGGGTAGGCAGACGATTGCGCGCACCGCTTCAATCGTAACAACAATGCTGGTGACGGCGGCCGCTGCGCACAAAGCATATGAGCGAGAATTGAAGGTCAGTGGGCGAGGCTTTTTGAATGAGATGAATGTTGGCGAGGGCGCGTGCGTCAGCAGACCTTGAGACGCGGGAAGCCCAGTCAGGAGAGATAGGCCCTGGCCATCGGTGCCCAGAGCGGCCCGAGTGCCGGCCGATTTGATGACCAGATTGCCGTAGATTGATGAGAGAACGGGAAAGCGGGGGGGATGGTCGACGATGGCGTTTCGAACGTTGGCTTCGACGTTGCCGTTCACGCTCGTGAGGTTGGGAAAGACCACGGGCTCGGCAAAGCCGCTTGAGGTTTCAATGTCGAAATAAATGTTGCCGATGACGGCAGCAAGCACGGGGGCCTGAAGACTGAAAATGAGTCCATTTGCTTTGACGAAAAACTCTATCCCTTGAGCTGAGGTGAGTTGGGGCAGAAGGATGGTGGTCGAGCCTTCTTGAATAACGAGCGTAAGTTTAGCCGTTGTCGTCGCGAGGTTGGGAAATCGAAGAGTGCCGTTGTACGCGCTGAAGTTGACGTGAATTGTCAAGGGAGAGTCCAGGCAGGAGTCGGTATAATTGTAGTCGGATTGCACGTGCACGTCCAGGGCCCTACAGCCGGGCACAGCCAGGAAAAGAACCAGGCTCGCGGCCGCGAGCGCGGTCAATGCGCGTTTCATGATCGTCGGCACCACCTGTGATACCTGGTCGCCCTTGTAGCTGACGTCAACGCGAAGCGGTGAGTTTGGGGTCAGCCGCTGCCGTTTACGACCCCATGCTGATTGTGCGAGCACGCAGGCTCCAAATTGGAAACTGCTCAGCGTCTCGGGCGCGCGTTGCCCCCTGTTTTTTTTCCGTTCTTCCTGTTCTTTCCTTTTATCGCCGTGTAAGCTGCCATGCAGCTTCACAATCGCTGTTTGGGCAATACGAAAGGGGGCGAGGGGGGACAAGCGTCGGTCAGGGCACGCATGTCGACCTTTGGCAATTTGCAAACGAGACAAGCAGACCGGTCAAGCAAAAGTTATACAAGCAAACAGGCGTCGCATGCGCGAAGGTTGACTCAACGTACCTCTCTCGGCAACTCACATACACCGAACCCTGTCCAACACCTTGACGTGTCTGGCACCCTGACCGCCACGCATGCACGCCGGCCTGTGCGCCGCCCTGCGCTTCAACCTTTGCACGGAACAACACCACGCAATTGGAAACAAGAAAAAAAAAATATGAGAGAGAGAGAGAAAAAAAAAAAAAAAGAAAAGAAAAAAGAAAAAAGAAAAAATTTCACACACACACACACACACACACACACACACACACACACACACACACACACACACACACACACACACACACACACTCCAGGAATCTGATAAAATTGTTGCACGTGTGTCATTGGTGTAGAATTAAAGTGTATAGGTGTGAAAAAGTTTAATCTCATGTGTGAAGATGTAAAGGTGTAACAAGTTTAAATGTAAGCGCTTTGTGTGGAAATTTTGATGTTTGCGTATGGGAGCGACGCATTCCGAACAAACACATCTATAGCTATAGCTTGGCACACTGCGACGCCGGGCGTTAGCATGTAGAAATATGGGCACGATCCTCCGACCATCGCTCTTAAAAGATGACCGAGGACGTGATCCTCTTTGCTGCTGGCTAGTGTGTATGGCCCGTCCTTGCTCTCGTTGCTGTTGCTGACCAATGCGACGCAGTCTGAGACGACGATATTTGCAGCGAACCCAGCAGGGAACTGCTTGGCAAAAGCAGAGGAGGCTTAGTGCAAGCAATCCAATTTCAATACTCGAAGACAGTTATGCCTTGTAACTCAGATGTTGAAATCTGTCTGTGGTGGGACATGGGCTCCAAAGGTCATTTACGGCGTCAACTCCCCAAAAGAACTCAGAAGACTCGATTCATTCTCTTGATATGGCTTTACACTTCCAAGCCCTCACCCATCCCCAAGAGGCTTCATGATATATGCTGGCATCGCCGGCATTTGCCCATGATACCAAAGCCATGACTAGGTATTTGCCGCAGCCTGCCTGGAAGAAGATGATGAGTCCAGTCTCCTTAAAGAGACCTTTTGGGCGAGCAATGATTGAGCTCCGCGCGATACCTTGCTATTGCTAATCGACCATAATTTCGAAGGGATTTTGAGAAATCGATTGATGAGATGTATTCCCCTCCAAATGCTCAGAGCAGATGAACAGCACGACACCCGTGGATGAGGTTGAACGTCGATGGTTGAGTAAATCTAAGCTGCCGTGTAGTAGACGACCAGCTCAGGGTAGACTTGATCGTTGTCGAACATGACCACCTCGTGAAATTCTCCAGCCGGCGTCGCGATCACCGAGTCGTATCTATAAAGGACAAGCACGTTGTCAAGACAAAAGAGATCTCTGCCACGGCTAACATGCATGATTGACCAACAGCAGGGCGACGCACCGCTCATTGTTAGGCGCATGGGGCAAGAGAGGCGGGGCCAACGCCTTGGAGTCGGGTGAATGATGGACAAAGGCGTGGCCCAACAATGCCCGCGTGATAATCAGCATCCGCTCATTATTGGCATTAGGCGGCTTGGCATACTGATGACTCTACAACGAGAAAATGATCATCAGAACAATAAACATGGCTGCGCACAATAGCAGCCGCGAAAGAAAACACCTGCGCAAAAACCCCTACCTTGCCGGGGTGGTCGGTCTGATAGACACCAAGACCAAAGCGATGGCCGGCGCCGCTACCGGCAAAGCGATAGTCTAGGCCCAGGCGCACAATTTTGTCGCGCAGTGATCTATCGGGGCGGATGCCGTGCAGCAACAGGCGCTCTTGACAGGATCTGTCTCGCAGCAAGGCTGGAAGGCCCGAGAGGGCATCCACCTTGGCCGTTTGAAGCTCATCATAGTGCTTCTGGTTTGTGATGCGGTGCAACATTTCCTGTCGCTTTGCGCTGTAACGCTCCCACAACACTGGATTTTCTACGCGCTTGACCCGTTGCACTCTCAGATGTGCTGGCCCTCGCCCGTCTGTGCTCAGCTGCTGCAGCAGTTCAGCCACCTAGTTACACATTAAATTCAAATGAAGGTTGTTTGCTGAGACGGGCATGGCATCATCAAGCAACGCACCTCGGGAATCAGCTCGGGCGCGTCGCGCAAAACATCAATGGCCGGTCCAATTGGGCCAGCGACAGGTCGTGCCGCCAACTGGCCAGCAGTGAAAAGGCTTGGCCGTTGCTTCGGATCTGTTGCAAGCAAGGCCCGCGTTTCCTTGTGCAATTCGCTCGTCGAATCGCACATCTGCAAACGAAAGGTTTCAGCGTGAGAACGAACAGTGTTTGACAAGAATCAGCCTCGAACCGACCGACCCTGACGAGCCCAGCCAAAAAATGACACTGACTTCAGCCGCTAGGTGCGGGAAGCTGCAAATACCATCTCCCGCTCGTATGCTCCAGCTACATTGATCCACCACCTCATCGCTCCGTGTTTGAGCAGGTGGCACTGTCTGTGGGTACATGTAGGTATTGTAGAGAACACACCCAAAGATAAAGGCATCCTGTGCTGGACGTGCCCCCACACGACCACGGCCAAATAGCACCTCGGGTGCCACGTAGCCCTCCGTGCCTGACGCCTTGGTGGCCGTACAAGGCAACATGGTGGCTTCAGCGACAGCCTTGGCAATGTCAAAGTCGCCCAGCCGCACAACGGGCTGATCCTCCAAGCCGTCCAACATCACATTGCTCAGCTTGACATCTCGGTGTACCAAGCCCTTGCTGTGCATAAACGCCAGGGCCGTGCGCAGCTGAGTCATGAGTCCAGCAATCACAGTCGAGGTGGCCAGGTGGCGTGCCTTGCTAAGCCACTGCTGCAAATCCCCTTGTGCACACCATGGCTGTACCAGGTAGGCGCTAGGGTGGCCACTGTGCACGTCCACGAGCGCGCCGAGGACCGGGATGATGTGTGGGTGCTCGAGCCGACGCATGGCGCGGAGTTCACGGAGGAATGTCCGGCACTGATCTTGTTTGTGTTGCAGGGCAAAAGCGTACTCCTTGACGGCCAAATCTTGTTCCCCAGAATTTAATAGCGCGGCGCGGGCCTTGTACACCTTGTGATTTTGGTTGTAATGAAGATCAAGCTGGCCCAGGCTGGACAGCGACAACGTGCGGTCCACTTCAGTTAAGGCCTCCAGGATGAGGCTGGCTGGAAGGTCGGGGCCAAGCACTGTGCGGAGCCGCGCTCCCAGCGTGCTCTGCTCAGGGTGCAAAAAGACCAGCAGAGCTGGAAAGTGCTGGTGCAGCAGCTGCGCTAGCCTGACCATGTGATCTACGTGCGACTGTCCTTGCAGCTGACGTTGTAAGGTGGCTTGCTTCGCCTTCATCTCCCGCAGTTGTTGTTCAGGGCCTGAGCGCATGTCGTCTGGTAAGTAGTTCAGAGCTGTCATAGTTCGACGGATGCGCTCATTCAGCTGCGCTAGCTCCTCATGTGCGGAAGCGGCCGGGTCATCAACGCTTTGGGACAGACGAGCTGCAAGCTCCTTGCACTGGGTCAACACGGACAGCGTCTGAGCTTGCCAGTCGATCATGTCTTGCAGCTGTTGCACCAGAGATTCAGCCTCGTGATGTACAAATGCTAGATACCAGGCATGATGCTTCACGTCGGGCGAGGCTTGCCACTGGGCGACCGCGTCAAGCCCATTCTGGTCAAATTGACTGAGCTTTGTGTGGGCGTGGCAAAGTTTCTTCCAGTCGCTGGGCAAGCTTTGAGGTGTAGATACCCGATCGACTGGCTGGCGCTTGACCTGTTGCTGCAACCTTTGCACGCGACTGCTCGTGTCCTTGATGCCCGCTTGCGCCACGGCATCCAGAGCATCGACAAACGCTTGTATGAGGACCTCAATCTGCTTGTTGCTGGCGGTCAACAGACGTGAGCGCGCTGGGCCCACGTTTTGAAGGCGGACCAGCTTGTCAATGGCCGCTGGGAGATTGACAGGAGGGTTTTTCGGGGCAGGAGGACTGGAGGCTGACAGGCGGGGGAATTGCGTCACTGCTGCACAAAGTGCGTGAAGCACCGGTGCCAAGTTGGGTTGAGAGACCAGGTCGTGCATTGCTTTGAGCTCTGTTGCGAGGGTGGTAGTTTTCAAATCCAGCTGGCTCGTGCGAGCAGATAGAGCTTCGGGCACTTTGAACACTTGATCAAGCGCAGAGAGCGCCTTGGTCGCTGTGTCTCGGAAAGCGGTCCAGTCCATATGAGGCAAATCCACGGGCGCTGCATTAATAATCTCTTTGATCGATGTGGCAGAGGCCCGCACGCCGGCATTGTGTCGGATGGCACCGTCGACAAAGGCGTCGAGGTGCGGAAATGGGTGGGTGGTCGCATGTTTAGGCAGGAGCGGCTTCAGCCAAGCCTCCACTGCCACAACCAACGAAAACGTCGTCTATTCCAGTTGCATGGGCAAGGTCTTTGTGAGGTGGTGCGAGTATGAAAGTTGAAATGGATGGAAGAGAAGACAGAAGGATAAACAGGATGGTAGACATACCGCCACGGTCGGGGCAGCACTGGGCAGCGGGGGTAGCCAGGCGGGAGGTTGAGGTGGCTCGGAACGGGCTGCAGTTGAGCTTGGTTGTGGTTTCGGACGTGAAGCAGATGATGGCCGGGCAACGTGGCTTGCAGTCTAAAAGGACAAGGCAAATGAATGCGGGCCAGTAAATTGACCGAAGCAGCGTCATCGATCAAGGCAGCAACGTGCCTGCGAGCAGGAATTCTTGCTTGCTGGATGAGAGACTTGTGCAGGAGTTGAACGGGATCTGGCTTTTTGTGCAGCTGTGTGAGCTGCAAAGACGGGCTCCAGCTTGCTTCCAAGTCCCCTTCGGCGCGCCACGTCGAGCGGTGTCTCGCCATCCTGTTAAGCGGGTTCAGGAACGAGTGAAGAGTTGCTATCGAAAGGAGGCGAGGAGTAGTAGTGTGATGGGAATCGCAAGGTGGGAGACAAGATCAAAGACAGCGGCGCGTGGCAGCAGGCTCGAGTTTGGTTTTGCAAACACACGGCAAAGGCGGCAGGAGTACACGAGCACGAGCAGAACACGAGCACGAGCAGAACACGAGCACGAGCAGGATACGCTAGAAGCTTCAGGCACCAAGAGAGAAAAGAAAGAAAGGCCACGGACGCCAGAGGTGTCTTATGTGTCAATGCGGCTTTGAGCAGAGACAACGTGGTGGGTGCAGGCGATCAAGAACGGAAGCACAGGAGAGACGGAGGAGAGCGAGGAGCATAGAGCGGGTCGCAAGCCTTGGGGGAGCATGCTTGATGTACGCGGGGAATAGGAGCGAAGGGATGGGACAAGAGGGTGGAAGGGCCAGGGATTCAAGCGAGATGGACGACATTGAGGAGTATCTCGACGGAGCATGCCAGGCCTGGGTGACTGCCACCAGCACTGCGAGGCGAGGAGTGGCCATCAGGGTAGCAGCGGGGGAAGAGGGAGGTACTGTACTGACGCTGGCAT